ATTCCCAAACATACGGTATAAATCAGCTGAAGAATCCGAACGGATCGAATGAGGCATGAATCCGCTTTGGTCGTCAGAGAAAGATGGAAACGTAGTGACTGGCGCTGCCCTATTGCCTTTTGTGTGGATCAGACTTCAAATCGGAGGATTCGAGGACTTGTTGCTAAGACAATCACCTGCTTCGGTCTAGCCGTCTGTGAAGTATTCCAGCTCCAACACGAACTATGAGATAGGCATTTTTTATTCCTCACAATGTAACAACTTTGTGTTATAATAATAATAATCACTGCTTATAATTTAGCACACTGAACAAGTTCATCAGGTAGTTGTGGCACCAGTTTTATTCACTCCTCGCGTTCCGAATGGATTATGTGGCTTCCGCAGCGCACATCGATTGCATTCAGTTTTCTGCTATCACTTACAGCTGACTATGCGACTTCTCACAAGCTTTCGTTCCCACTTCGTACAACCTACTCCATATTATTTTACGATGTCAAACTGCCTTGTATCTGTTTCCACTTGAATGTGATGTTCAATCCATCGCCATCTCCTTCTAAATATTTCTTAGATTGCATGGTTGCGTTAGACAGAAGTAGAAACAACTATTGATTTTCTATTTGACTAGCAATAGGTTGAATTATAATTGCACTGTTTGGTTTTGCATGTGGATCCTTTCACCTGAATGATTAAGAATCACGATCTTCATCAGTTCACCACATGCTACTGTCGTTTTCATTGATTACAGAATTGATTAATAATTTCAAAGTGAAGCGCTAAATATAATACTGTTTATGTAGATTCTCTAACAATAAATTAATTGCCTTTAATGGATAGTTGATGCGTTGTTCATCTTTACATTTAAAAAACAAAAAAAGCAACAACAAGCGATTCCAACTAACCCAGTACAATTCACATGTATTAAAGTTAAAAGCAATTCTGTGTGAAACATTGAGTTTATTTATTGCCGATATAGTGCTGTCCTATAGAAATAAGAATAAATAATTTTAATTTTTTATAATGAGGCTTTGCTGTAAGACAGAATACCACCACCTCAATGGTCTGCGTTTTCCTCTGTCTTATCAACACTGGGTTTAGCTGAAATTTTCTACTTGACATTGTGAGAATGTTGACTTTTATGTCGACTGTTATCCATCTTCAGACATCACATCCTGAGTATTCGTTTGGGAATTCACATCAAGGATACGTTTCTTTCAGTAAATATGAGTGCCAATAAACCCATGTATCATTATTATTGATTTCCTCTATGCTTTCTTCTGCTCTTTTCATCACCTCTTCCATGTCACCCCACCCTCGCACTGACGACCAACTCGCTGATTCCCATCCGGGTTCCCCTCGGGCGATGGCCTCGCGTGTGATGTCACTTGATGATGGTTTGTTTTCTCAGAGTATAGCCAGCCAATCCACCTCCATCTCTTCGTGCATATTTCTTGCACAATTGGTTCCTGCTGGGTTGGTTTGCTCATTGCCAGAGATCCCTGTTGCTGATCTTTTCTTGCCATGTGGTCTTGAGTATTGAGCGAAGGCAGCTGCTGGTGAAGGTTTGTAGATTGTTCGAAGTGCCCTTTCGTGACGCACGGCCAAGTCTCTGATTCGTATAGTAAGTATCACTGACTCCACATTGGGGTTGAAAATCCGCATCCTTTTTTATGTTGAGTGCTGTTGATCTCCACACAAACTTGAGAGGAATTAAAACTTGCCTTGCTTTCCAGATCGTCGCTTTGATATCTTCATCAGTTCCGCCTGTATTTGAAACGAACATTACTACTATTATTCTTTTGTGTTCCGAAAGGAACATGAGGCGTCAAGAGAACTTCTCTATTTCTCTTCAATGCTTTATAGCTGGTTCTGAAATTTCCCATCAGATCTCATCTCCTCCACACACACTTTCTTTCATGTCATCTTCGGCACATGTCCACCTTTTCGTTTCCCACTTAAGTTACATTCAAGCGATGGTCTGACGCATGATGTCACTCAGTGATCTCCTCAGATTGTATTTTACTCATCTCCATTTTCTTCGGTATATATTTGTTGGGTGACAGGCTGTTGGGGTAGTTTTCCACCCCTTCTAGAGTTTCCTTTTTCTTATTCTTTCTGGCTAGTCATCGGATCTTCAATATAAGACCTATAAAGAAATCTGTTGATTAAAATCTGTAGACGTCTGTTAGAAGTGGTTTTGATTGGGTGCGTACCAAGTCTTCCAACCATATAAGAAGCACTGACTGACTTGAAATTAGTGTTTGGAAAATCCAAAGCTTGTTATTTATGCTTATTCGGGTAGGTTTGCACGCTGATTTCAGGATAGCGAAGGCATGTCTTGCCTTTCCGATCCTGTTTGCCATTGACATCATCTGTTCTGTCACCTATAGTTGAAACGATGCTTCCTAGATAAGTGAAATAAGTGACGTTGTTTAGATTTCTTCCGTTGACAGTTCTTGTATTTGTTGGTTAGGTACTTTCATTGACTCTGTCATCTTCAATTTCGTTTGAATTCCTGCCTTCACTTCCTGCCTCTTCTGTGAACTTGTCGGCTTTTGTCTGTAAATCCACGAATTCGTATTTTATTTGACATTAAGAGTCCGCGAACTCTAAACCTCCAAGAGTTTTCTTGTCGGCCAGAAGTATTCCTGTGTTCCCACTCATGACTTGCTGCATAATCCAGTTTCCCACACTCAGGAGTATCATCATCTTCTTTAGTTATCTTGTCTTACTCCTGTCCCCACTTCTAAAACCTCCTGACGTGTGGTGGCCTCCTTATATATGAACATGATAAGTAATACTAAATAAACACCATAAACTCTAATATCATTTCATAATGTCTGAAAAATGCCTTGGTTTTATTTTCTCATGTTTATGCAAGCTTTTTATTCTCAAGATTACTTTTACATACCCCTCGTCTTACCTTACTTTATTTACTTGAACTTTCATTATATGAGTTCGTCTCTGTCATTTGTTAAATGATTGTAGTATTTTATCTAGTTGCTCGCCCCTCCCCTTACCTCTTCTACATCATGTCTTTAGACAGTTTTTGGTGTTTTCTAAATACACTGCCTTACAAATCAGAACAAGAACAATTTTTTCACGATTAATCGTTACCATATGATTTTTTTGTGGTGTCAAGTGTACTTACTAACCAATGCCTTTAAGTAGTATGAGTTTATTCCTTTAATTTTCTACGTGTCATAAGTTAACATGGTTGAAATAATTGTAACTTTCACACTGAAGTTGTGGACATCCTTGACAAATTTTTGAATTTAATTCCAATTAAATTGACTTAGCACTTAAATGTATTTATTACGTTTACTATATCATCTAAAAGGTAATAAAATGATGAGCAGTTGTTTATCTCAAGCTACTGTTCTAGAGTAATATATATGTTTCATTGTACTTAGTGTGAAATCGTTAGTTGAGTATTCATTAGTATTTATTTACCCGATCTCGTTACTAAGCAACATAATATCTTCACTTCTTAGTTATATACCACAGCTATTGATGAGCCTAGTCGAATAATTTGTGATTTCACTCAGGTTATTATTAATGTTTTAATTTTAATTCTATTCTTCTGCATTCTAAGTGGGACAATTGGCTACAGGCTGTAAACTCAGTAGCACTGGTGTATAGTTTTATGCTATAGATTTGGTGGCCTCATGCCTAACGTTCCCTCTTTACCGGTCTTATCACCGGCTAGGTTTAAGAGTGCTCCCGCAGGCGATTAAACCCCTGGCCTATGCGTTTGTGTTTAGTGAGTGTTCTACCTGCGAAACACCGATACACCAGTTAATATTAGTTGTTTAATAATTCTCCTGCATAATATTCACTCGGCTGGCCATTAGTATTTGTTAGAATATGTATATTAGTTCAGGTGGAAATTTGTTTCACTGGACTTTCAGTTAGTGGATAAAGGGTCCTAGTCCCGCTCCATCTTCTCACATGATAAATGTATCTCATAGCATCTGCGTAATATCTAACAAACTAACTAACATATTCAAGGTTGACGATTTCCATGAGTAAAGCATTGCAAAACTAAGCGATATATAATTCGCTGAACTACGTGTTTTTTGTTTTAGTTATTTTTCCAGATATGCCATAGGATAAGTCACAGCTACTCATAAGATTCACTATTTTTAAGCAAATTATTTTCCAGCGACCAATAACGTTATTCTACTAAACAAAAACAATAAATCTTTGTTGATGGTGACTAGCAGTGAAACCCATGATGTGCATTTCCTTACATTTGGAACTTGTCAGCTGGATGTATCTGCACTGATCAGCAAGTGAAGGTGATCACATTGAAACCTAAAACCGTTACGCACACATTCAGCCGAAGAGTCCCGAATGGGGCAAATACACATCCTGAGCTCCGCTGCCGGACACCATCAACCAGAACGGCTTCATGTTAGTCCCAAGATATCTACGAAGCGTACACTCTAAGAGGCAGTATACTAACAGAGGCTATGCATTTCTGCCTAATATAATCACTCAACGGGAAATGCAAATTCACAAAAGCATAGATTCTCTAGTCTTTTTTGCCCTCTTTCCTTCACTTCGTCAAGTACTTTCTTATAAGGATGTTATATAATTTTAAAGACTTTTCTTTCAGTCACTTTCTCTCTTGTGAAATTCGAACATTCTGTGTATGGAGATATTCTCATCAACATTGTTCTCTATTTCTGTCACCTACCCCCTAAAATATCTTTTTATAGTTGCTTTTTGCTACTGAATAAATAAATAAGTAGTCGGTTGTGCTAAGGCTAATAAACTCAAGTTTTTCGCTGTTTCTTTATTTTCGTAGCATGTTCAGGATGACGAATCATTATTTTGTTATTCATGTAGAATGACAGTTGAAATGGTAATGATTATGAGGAGAGATGTAATGGTACCAGTGTTGCTGTTTATTCTCAATCTAAAAGTCAGTTTTGAATCGCTTCATTTTAAAATCTTGTAATAACTGTTCTTTCGTACATTCTGTTTTTAATTTTTAGATATTGAGCAGGATCTTCAAAAGATTGATGCATGGTTGGATATGTTAGCTTCAAGTAAGTCATTGTTTACCAGCGTATGAGGATTCTTGATAATGTTTTCGTTCATTTGAGCTAATACTCGTTAACCTTGGTTCCTACGTAGTTGAGCACTATTCACTTCCAGTGTAGATTTCTTCACGAATCAACATCAGTTAGAGGTCATGGGACTCTTCGCAAGTGTACGCTCACAACCCCATCAGGGATCGAACCCAGGACCTTCAGGTTTCAAAAAAACAAGTTTGTTGATCATTTAGCTACTCGGGGTGGAATTCAATGACATATGTATTCTAAGTTTGTCGATACCTTGTCATGATAGACATGATGGATAACTGCTTATTCCCAGTTTGATACTCTTTATCAATATGGACCCAGGACCCTCTGGTTACAAAACGAGCTCGTAGAGCATCCAGCCACTGAAACCCGATCTAATAACCCATAAATTCAGATTCTACCAATCATCCATACATATAATGCAAGCACCAGCCGGAATCCACTAATTCGAACCCAGGGGGATGGGGACTTCTTAAGAGTCCCTAACAAGGACGAAACCACTGTCCAGTACTCCATGGGTTTTTTAATGGTTCTCCAACTGATTTCAGCTGATGATCAGACGTAGAGTTATTTGAATTGTGCTTTGTAACAAAAAGAAGCCATTTATGTTATAGCTGATTCCTTATGAAATTTATATCAATATAAAATGTATTGTCTGGATAGTTTGATTTATGCTAATATTAACAAGTGTAAGGCGTCACCAGTAGACGAAATAGGGAAAAGATTTAAACCTCTCGATTTTTTTGTAACTATGCTTTGTCAGTTATCAGTTTCTGTTTTGTTGATCGACGTCAATGAATCTGTTTCCTGGGCAGGTACACATTTATTGTATTATTGTGTATAACGGTGAATTTTCCGTTGAAGTATATGATTTTTAATTTTCATTCAATCCTTTCAGATTTACCTAATACATCCGCTTGGATGACATGTCTTATGTCATTGTCTGAAGTTCAGAAATTCTCTGCAGCTAAATATTATCAGGTGATATGCTTTAGTTCAATTTGTTCTAATTTGATTTACTGTTTGGTTTGTATTTTCAGGTAAATATATAATGAAAACTTGATCAATTAACTTTGAAAATCTCTAGTATTAGAGCCTTAGGGGAAGAGCCGAGTGGAGCATAGGGCTTTAAATGAACATCTCCAGTTTCTCTTTCTCTCTGGAGTCATCTTTAGCTGGCTTTATGACCGCCCACAGGCTCGCATCTCCTCCTCACATGATCTCTCTGTTCTATCCAGTTCACCTCCACTCTAGCGATAGTCTGGTGGGCAATGTCACTCAACGGTCTCCGATCCATCTACATTTCTTTCAAAATATTTCTTGAACTTGTTGGTAATCCTTTCTAGCCGGACACCTGATCTTCATTACTGAAACTGAAGCCTATCGGTAATGGGCGCGCCAAGTCTTTAAAGCATATAAAAGAGTTGACTTAATATTGGTGTTGAAAATCCGAATCTTGCTCTTCACGCTAAATGCAGAATAAGATTTCTTAACTGATTTCAGAATAATGAAGGTGTATCTTGCCTTTCTGATTATAGCTTTGACATCTTCAACCGTTCCAACTGTGGTTGAAACCGTGCTTCCTAGACAAGTGACGGAAATTACCTTTTTCAAATTTATCTCATTGATGATGATCGGTGCTCTTCGTTGCTATTGTTTTATCTGTCTTATTTAAGTTCACTTAAAGTCCTGTCCTTGCTGCTTCTACTGACAACTTGTTGGTTTTACGCTGTAGATCGTGGAGTTCATCTAACACTGGTCAAATCGTCCGCGAAGTGCAAATCTTCTAGGGTCTTCTTGTCAGTCCAGTGTGTTCCTGTCCTGCTTACCATGCTCGATGTTTTGCATGATCTAGTCGATCACACTCAGGAATGTCATCATCTGTGATAGCAGGTAGCGTAGGCGTAATCCCCTCTTCACTACAAATGCTTTCCTGAGTTTTCTATTGTGGATCAATTGAAGTGTGGCAGTAACAATCTCCATGGTCTGGACGATTGCATGCATAACTACTTGGTATGACGTTAATACACTTGTTAGTTAGCACTAACGAAATTTCTACCTAGTTGATGTGTGAGCCTACTGTTCTTATCACAATAAGCGATAAAAAAGACAACAACGACACGATATGATATCACTGAACCTGTGACACAACAAGGCAGATAGTTGACGTAGAGAGCTTTTACTGTCTCGAATCTACAGCGAAAAGGATTAAAAGCGATTGCGTATATATGCGCTTTAAGTGGCTTTGAGAGACACTGATTGCATTGATAAGTTAAAACAGTCAACAACCAATAGGGGCCCAAGGTCATACATGAGTGTGGAGGAAATACAAACAGCACTGTGCAGTGAAGATAAATGTAGTACTGTAGAAAATTTAGGTCTATATATCACTATTACAGGACTTACGTATACAACAAATCATTACCATACGGAATGCCTCCTTGTATTGAATAACCTTGCTTCAATAAATGGTGAGTTGTAGGTTAATACTAATTATCGCTAGACAGATGTATGTAGTGACTAGCTGATCGATTGTTTAGCCCCATTGTTCTGAAGGTTTTTTTCACTCCTCTTTGGTCCTAGGGGAACTTAGAGTTTCAAGCTTGAACTTTTAAGTTTCAGTAGCGGTGGCGTTATCTTCTTTACGGGTCGCTAGCCTCATGACCAACCTTCCCATTTTACCAGGCTTACTACCAACTTAGCGAGGTAAAGGAGCGTGTCGGCTGGAAATCAAACTTGGACTACTGGCGGGCACTCTACCCCTGAACCGCAGATGTACAATGCGTATATATTGTCAGAAATCATAAATACTAGTTACTGCTGCGAGTGAACTTCAAGCTTCAACCTTTGAAGTTTCAACAACAGTAGTTTTGGTTATACACAGTGAGATTGCAAGCATCACCCTCCACCTTCCTTCTTTTCATGTCAGCCAGCAAAACTATGTGAGGTTTATATGGGGAGCGCTAGCCAAAGATCAAACCTGAACCTCCCACGTACAAATGGACCACTGAGGCCCACAAAATTATAATATACTAACATGTTACTTCACACGAAATCAACAATTTTATGATTTAAAAGCTTTGTTAGAGTCGACTTGATGTCTAGCCCGTATCGATGACGTGAGTTAGGATTAGGCTGCATAACGCTTTATTCGAACCTTTGCCGAACTAAGATGGGAGGTGTTCAAAAATTTGAGGATAAACTTGACTGATCATACGCCCAATTTAATTAGCTCCTCCTCGCGGGCAGTTAAACTGGTAAATACACATGGAAGAGGCGAAACAGGGCAGTCTCTCTTTATTTCTTGAACTAAGTATTAGTCGGCTAGTGAATATACAGCATAGCTTAGCTGCGTTCAAAGTCCTTTTGAAGGCCCTTCTCAGACGTTGTAATAAGATCTCACTATTGACATCACCCATGAATTGTAATCTTAGGAAGACTGAATTTTTTAGGAACAATGGGCATCTTCGACCTTTCACTTTCTGAGTTCACATGTTTATCGAAGAATTTAGTTGGATACCCATTTTTACTTAAAAGATCACGAATATTACCGAGTTCTTCGTTCAGTGTCTCATTCGAACAGATAACTCTAGCCCAGTGATTTAAAAAAAAAACTTTATTTGTATATTTTTGTTTTACCTTTGAAATATTTATGCAGATTTGTTTAAAACAAATTGAACAGTATTCAAAAACTTTATCAACGATAAAAGAATTAGTCGATCGTGTTGATGTGCATACAATGAATGCAGATTTGTCCTTTCAAAATACGCTGCATCATTTATCAAAACAATTTTGTCAGGCTGAAGCAAAATGTCATACTTTATGGTTACGTTTATTAGAGTTAACAATTTATATTGATCAAAATCTTAAAATTAATATCAGCACAACATTGACAAATAATACTGAACAGCGTGAAGAAACGTTGATCGAGAATTCTTGGAATATACACTTGTTAGCATTTACTTCTCAAGAGGTTAGTTTCATTCATTAAACTTACTTTTATTATTATTATTGTTGTTGATTCAGTCTTGGCGTTCCTCGCATTATCCTCTCCGTATCAGCGTTAAGGTGACTAGCTTGTTGCCGCCTATTGGGGTTCTACTCCAGCGACAGCCTGGTGTGTGTATGTGATGTCACCTGAATGTCTTCTCAGCGTGTATCTTCATTTCACCATCTCCATTTCCTTTTACACATTCGTTGGGTAGTGTAGTTTCTTGGTATATTCTATGATGACAGGTAGAGTTCTTTACTAAGTTTTGGCTTGCAGAGATTTGATTCGTTTGGTTATATAACCTCATCATGTGCTGACATCGGTCATAGAACCATTGGAAAACCAGCAGGGAATACTCGACAGCTGTTTGCGACTCCTCATCAGTAAACACCCACCACCAGGGTTCGAACCCAAGACCTTCCGGTTATAATGTGATCTCGTGACTATTCAGCTATTGAGAACCAATCCAGTGGCACTAGCCAATGTCATCGGTAGCGAGTGTCTGTCCTCACACACACACCCCCGATCTGCTGTACCCTAATGGTCACGAACTCTCAGCATAATAAGTTCTCTTAATAGCTGTAATATTACGTTTTTATGCATATTATCACTCACGTCCAGCGCCAATTACCATCAACGGGAGGGATTTGAAAGAGGTTACTTCATTCACTTATCTAAGGAGCATTGCCTCAACTACAGGAGGAACGGACGAAGATGTCAAATCGACAATCGGGAAGGCGAGAAACACATTCATCAACCTGAAATCAATCTGTAAATCTTCGTCACTCAGCCAGCATCAACACCAAAATTCGGATTTTCAATACAAACGTCAAGTCAGTCAGTTCTTCTATACGGATCAGAAACTTGGCGGGTCACAAAGAATATTTCCAACAGCCTGTTGGAGGCCTTCATCAACAACTGTCTTCGTTCTATACACTGAAGATCAGATGGCCGGAAAGAATCACCAACAAGAAACTATGGGGACAAACAAAACAAGGGTGACATGGAGGAGATCGTGTGAAGAGGAACTGAAACAGTATGGACTAACATGGATGGATGCAGGTGAAAAGTACAGCAGAAGACAGAAGCAAGTGGAGACGTGTAGTTGAAGCCCTATGTTCCACTAGGAACCCAAGGGAACAATAGATAATAAATAAATAATATCACTCATGTATGCTCTCAAACTGTAATCGATTAGGATTATTGACTTCAATGTTGTGTAAAACAGTTTTATTGTGGTTGATAGTAATAAATTCTTTAACTATTATAGTCAGATAACTGTAGAATCTAGTGAAGAAGTGATCGAAACGAATATTCTTTGTTCACTAAACTTTGTCCTTTTAAATTTCTACTGGGTATCTTCACTGAATTTATGAGTTGTTTTAAATTGCTTTGTATTTGAGAAACACAAAATACAATATCATAATAACTATCTTATTTATTTTTGCTTCTATTTTGACTTATTCATATAGACTAGTTATGTACTATTAATCTCCAGAATATATATAGCGCCTTTTGTTCAGTTTGAATTAATTTTTTTTTGATCTTTTTAAGATAACAATGAATGCATCAGGTGTATGAATCAATTATGATCCGTACCTTTGAATATTTATTTATTTATTTGGTTATTAATGATTAATAATTTTGTATAAAGCAGGGGTGGGTTGGGAGGTGTGAAGGCAAAGGATAAGTGCTTGTACTTGCTTGTAAATAAATCTATATGGATTACTTTCCATATTAGTTTGTTTATTAGATATATCACACAGTCAGTGAAACAGTATTATTTACTGGATGACGTTATGCACAAAATTTATTATTGTTCATAATCATATCTTCAATTATAATCACACAACTTCGAAACTTCAGTTTTATAGTTTTCTTTGTTTTCTCCTATTCGTCTTCGTAGGGGTGGTAGAATTTTCCAGATGTCCGGGAGGGTGGACAGGTGTTGAATCATTCCCATTACACGTGTTTGCAGTTGGTTCGATAAACAAACACATTAACTCAAAGGTGGAGGCAATTCAATTCACTTATGAATTGAAAAATCAGGAAGGGGAGCTGCCAATGTTAGATTGTAGAGTTAAAAGGAAAGAAGATGGGAAGTTAAACACTATGGTTTTACAGAAAACCCACACATTCAAACAGATATTTGAACTTCCGATCATCCTATCTTATGTCAGTAAAATTAGGATTGATGAAATGTTTAAATAATAGAGCACAAAAACTAAGTAGTACCAAGGAAAATCTAAGACAGGAAGTGATACACATAAAAGAAGCTTTGAAACTTAATAATTACCCTGATAAATTAATCAGGAAGTATATAGGGAATTGTAAAATTAAATAAATAATACTAGTAGTGATAGTGATAATAATATGAATGACGACATGCGTGTCAAACATGTGCAGGATAATGACAACACCGACAGTAAGAATCTTAATCATCAGTAGTACTTCCATACAAGGAAGGAACCTTAGAACCTTACGGAGAACTCTTAACAATGCTGACAGGAATAAAAGTGGCTGGCATTCAAACTCACAAACTCAATTAGAAACAAGCTATGTCGGTTAAAGGATCAATCCTGTGGAGCCAATTAAACAAAACAATTTGGTTTATCTAACACCCTCTCTGCGATGCGTGTCAGGTCAAATACATGGGCCAAAGTAGTAGAACAGGTGTAGTCAGACTAGCGGAGCACAAAAACCTAGCAAAATGTGGAATAATGGATCCTAATAATATAAGAAATACAGATTATAGTTCAGTTATACCACTACATGCAACTACACACAAACACAGAATGTAGCATGGGATAGGATGACAGTTTTGAAATCTAATGTACCAACAGGGTGGAGGGAGAGATTGAAAACGGAAGCTTTGTTTATCGAATCAACCGCAAACACGTGTAATACGAATGATTTAACACCTGTCCACCCTCCCGGACATCTGGAAAATTCTACTACCCCTACGAAGACAAATAGGAAAGAACAAAGAAAACTATAAAACTGAAGTTTCGAAGTTGTGTGATTATGATTGGTAATATGATTATGAACAGTAATAAATTTTGTTCTAAACTCCGTCGTCCAGTATATTATAATACTGTGTTCATCATAGTGTGATACATGGAATTACTTACTACCACAGTGCCCAAGTTTTACACATATATTAAGAGATTATATTCACCGATTGTTAAATAATTAAATATCTTAGTATTATGATACTTTGCTCTTTTGTAATGAGATGATAAACAAGTTCTTATACTGACATTTAAGGAATTTTCGCTAGTGGTAGGTATCAGCAAAAAATAGTTGTTCAATGAGTTTCTCTAACTCTTTTACTTATGCATTGTTGAAACCCAATGATTGTTTCAATGTAGTATGCTTAGGATCAGTAGAAACTAGAAAACGTTCTGGGTTATTAGGTTCTCAATCAGCAGGCGTGTTGCATTGGATTACCTAGGGGTTAGTTGTTCCGTATTTTCATGTTTTTTTTAAAAGCTACGTCGTTTGACATAGTTTTTTTGACATACAGTCTAAACAATCATACAATGATAGCAGGTAAATTTACACTGGAACTGTATTCGCATAAGTAATACACAAGAAGAAATAAACAAATATCATGTGCCATAAGAAGAATAAGAAAGAATTTTACTTACTGTTGTGTATCATTTATCTGGATGCATCTATGTACTAGAGTAGAAAGAAATTTCCAGCTGCGTAACTCAACTAATGCATTCACATCCAACATGTATACGTTATCCTTTAAATTGCTGTTCTACCTTTTTCTTTGTTTTTTAAACTGTTGACTTTCATTTGGTGAAATCCAGAATGCATATTTTGTCCTATTGGGACTTGTCAGCTGGATATACCTGCAATCTACTAAGACTTGAAGTCAGTACTCATCGTTTCAAACATCAAAGCGTTTTCTGCTCACTAACAATGCAAGAACATCCAGATGACGAGTTACAAATTGGACGAAATGCGCATTCTGGTTTCCCGGGTTAATCAGCATCCACCGAATAACATTATATTAACTCTCAACCTGTCAAGTTGATACGGTTGACTTCAACATGACAATTTGGATGGATTATTATTTTAGTACGCTTGACACCTTCATCCGGTGGGTATTAGAATGTTTCAATAAATGGGCTAAAATTTACAAGCATGATTTCATGAAAGTTCAATAATTTACGTTTAACCCATAACACTGCGCAGATATCAATATCAAGCAACATTTTCTGATAAAAGTGCAGCAAATGTAACGCAGTTCAAAAATATAATCCCCCTGACAATACGTACGCCAGAAAAAATTTCTTAACGCAAAAAATTACACCACCATAGCAACGAACTACAACGCTACAATTGGAGAGGACATGCAATGAAGCCACTCAAATTTAGCATGCCAAAAAAAATTGTGTTACAAAAACTGGGAGTACTGGACAGCTGTTTCGTCAACCTAGTTTGTGATTCATCATTAGTACGCATCCACCCCTCCCCACAGTTTGAACCCAGGACCTTCTGGTTACAAAACGAGCTAGCTCGTAGACCATTAAGCCACTGGGACTCGATCCAATGGTTAGCCAGTCCATGAATTCTAACTTCTGCCAATTCACGACATAGTGAGAACACTTAGCAATGTCTTTTTCGATGAGTTACTACCTCACCTTCAACCTGTTGTAGCCTACTGGTCACGGCTTTCCACTAGAACCCCAGGTAATTTCCTACCTGAATAAGGCCAGTCGCTAGTGAGCATCAGATTAATTTTCAAGTATTGGTTTTGTAGGGATTTTGTTTGGTTGGTTGGAGGATTTCATCATGAGCTGATATCAGTAAGATAATCATTGGAAAACCAACTGGGAGTACTGGAAAGCTGTTTACCCAGCCTAGTTTGGGACTCTTCAGCAGTACGCCTAATTGTCTACGAGCTCACCTTGTAACCAGAAGGTCCTGGGTTCAAACCTCCTACAATGGGTGCGTACTGATGAAGAGTCCCAAACTAAGACGAAACAGCCATTCAGTAATCCCAGGTTTTCCAATGGTCAGCTCATGTTGAAATCCTTCGACCAACTAATCAAACGAAACTCCCTACAAAACCAATACTTGTGTTACAAAAGTTTATATTTTCCCGTGTTTTTTCAGTGTTTTGCGCTATACATGCTTCAAAGTTCAGTAGGACACTTTCCTGTATTGTTGTCATTAAGTTTGTGGAAGACGATCTAAACAAGCAAACACACAATTTCGGTTAATTCTCATCAGGCTTTACAATTACATAATAAAATATTAATCATAGACATTTGAAAAAAATGTGGATCAATAGATTAAAATATAATTGAGGAGAATATAAGTAGAATAATAGTAATAATAATAAATTGGGAAAGTAAGACTAACTATGCAACTGTACAACACAGTATGATATTGATAAGGGAGTTAGCGGTTCAAATAAAAATAAAGATAATATTTACAGTTATCCAGTGTCACTGGGAAAGATAATCATTCTTGTTTGGCGATGAAGGTCAATGGGAAGGGGAAACTCTACCTGAACATAGAAATTGGGCTGAAAAAAGATTCTATGGCAAGCTCACGATCGTCTTCCTGAGCACTGTTCAACGTGGTTAGGCAAAGGAGTCGTAAAGTCAGTCAGAAGTTCCATATTAGCACACCTAGTGGATATGGAGCATAAAATTGGTAAAAATTCAGTCTTTACAATTCTACACAAAGTGTCACCTCAACTCCCTAAGTTTGTACGCCTTCGACTGTTAAGCAAGTATAGCTGAGGCAGTCGCCAAAGAAATTGTTCAATTCGATCTCTGTGTTCAGAAAACGTTTGTTCAATCCCTCTCCCTCCCATGGCCTTCAACCCCTAACCAGAATAGTTATCTATTCCGTTAACACTGGATAACTGTAAATATTATCTTTATTATCAGTATCATACTGTTTTGTAGTTGTATGTTCTAATCACCTTACTACCGGCTTAGCAATGTTTAGGAGTTCGTCGGCTGGGGATCGAATCTCGGACCATGTGCACAGTTGGTAAGCGTCCTACTGCCTAACCACAGATGCCTCCTAAGGGATTATTTATAATATAATAATGTCAATAAATAATGAAGACTTTTGCATTTTTCAGTTGCAAGTTTCTTGGAATATGTTTGATCAGACATGTGGTCACAAGTTGATATAAGAGTAAAACTTGTGCACTGTGGTAGAGTATCATATCCTTGATATGATTATGAGCGGCAATAAATTGTGCTCGAAACGTGGTCATCAGTAAATATTACTGTATAACACTGTGAGACTTTATCAAAATAAATTTTACCCATAATGGTCACAAATTCTTTTCTTTTTACTCGCTTGATTTATAGACCTAATTTTCTACAGGTCAATTTTACAAGTCTGTTTGTATTTCTCTCGCCCTACTTATTGATTTATGATCTAGTTTTCTCTCACTCTACCTATGACCTTTGAAATTGTATTGGTTGTTCACTGTCTTAATTTATCAATGACATTATTGCTTCCCAAGGTCATTCTAAACATATATATTATTATTTAATATTTCCTTTAATTCCTAGAGGAACATAGGGCTTCAGCCGTGAGTCTCCATTGCGTTCGGTTCTCTGCCAACGTTTTCACCTGGCTCCACGTCTGCCCACATGCTTTCATCTCCTCTTCACATGACCTCCTCCAAGTCACCCTTGGACAACCAACTCGCCTCTTCCCATTAGGGTTCCACTCGACGGCTTGTCTAGCGATATTACTTGATGGTTCCCTCATAGTATGGCCAATCCACCTCCATTTCCTCCTGCTTATTTGTTTCACAATCGGTTTCTGGTTGGTTTGCTCCCAGAGATCCCTATTGCTGATCTTTTCTGGCCATCTGATCTTGAGTATTGAGCGAAGACAGCTGCTGACGAAGGTCTGGATTTTGTTTGAGGTGCTCTTCATGACGCTCAGTGCAAGTCTCTGATCCGTATCGTGAGTAGCACTGACTTCACATTGGAGTTGAAAATCCGGATCTTATTTTTTATGCTGAGTGCTGCTGACCTACACACAGACTTGATAGTAGTGAACGCCTGTCTTGCTTTTCCGATTCTTGCTTTGATATCCTCGTCAGTTCTGTCCGCCTGTAGTTGAAACGATGCTTCCTAGATAGGTAGGTGAAGGAGGTTGTTTCTTTCAGGTTCCTCCCATTTATGCTGATTGTTGTCTGTTGTTGTTGTTGCTGTTGGTGGTGTTACCCAGGAATCTTCATCACCTCTGTTTTCTCTATGTTCACCTGAAGTGAAGTCCTATCTTTGATGCTTCTTCTACCAACTTGTTGCTTTTCGCTTGCATATCTTCTAGTTTGTGGGAAATCAGACATATATCATCGGCGAAGTCCAGACCCTCCACGTTGTTTGTGTGAGTCCATTTTATGCCTGTTTCCTTATTGCCCGCCCTTTGTCGCATTATGCAATCTACTGCAATCAAGAAAATCATTGGTGATAGTAGGCAGCCTTGTCTTACTCTCGTCTTCACTTCGAAGGATTCCGTAAGTTTCCCGTTTTGGATTACTTGGCATGCAGCATTGTCGTACAGCTGTTGGATGAGATGTATAATTGTCGGCGGCACCCCGTAGTAGCGAAGTAGTTACCAAATTACCTCTCGATCAACTCTGTCGAAGGCCTTTTCAATGTCGATGAAGTTGAGATAGAGAGGTGACTGCCATTCCAAGCTCTGTTCAGTGATGATCCGTAGTGTTGCAATTTGATCAATACATGACTTGTTTCTCCTGAATCTAGCCTGTTCCGGTCATAGTTTTTCATCCAGGGTGGCGTGTTTGATTCTCTCCAAGATGATGCGGCTTAGTATTTTACTTGGAATGGACAGGAGCATAATTCCGCGCCAGTTCTTGCATTGACTTAGGTCTCCTTTCTTTGGTAGTTTGAATAAGTATCCTTTCTTCCAATCTTCGGGTACCTTGCCCTCTTTCACACTTTCTCCAGTAGTGGTGTCATACATATATATATATATATATGTTGGCACTGTCAACCTCTTTTGACTGTTGTTTTGAGACGGTAATAGCTGTCTTACCAACGTCCAGTCTTTTCTTCTGTTTTTTTGTGTGACCCGGTGGTGTTATTGTTGCTGTTGTTATTGTTGACGTGTGATTAAGACAGATTAGCCAGCGCATTAAACTTGGTATTCGCTCATAGTCTACTAGGTCATAGTTCCGGTCATAACATGGCTAATAATTTTTTATTTGTCTATCTATTTCCCCCCCCCCCTGCCCCTAAAATTTTAGGTTAAACATCAAAATGAACATGAAAGTGGCTTTGAATCTGAACAGAGTCCACCAGTGAAATCATCTCTTCCCTATGCATGCAGTGAAACTGCTATCAGTTCTACTATTAAAACTCATAAAGATGAAAAACCACTGCTACATAGTAAGTTATCCATTTCAAATATATACTTGATTGAATTGTATTGTTCAGACATCATTTTCTTCCTTATTTATTGAGAATGATTTTCATTCATTGTGCCCTTTAATGTATACAAGTAGATACTGCTGATTGACTGATTGATTGAGATGAGTAGTTGTATGCCGCTCACATCAACCAGTAGTAGGCCTTACTATCTATACCAGCGTGAACTTAACACTGGACGTTCATTTTGTTCGTGTGGAGCCGAGTTCATCAGTGTGGTGTACCCGATTTAACTGATTTCGAAGAGCCTAAGCAGTTCATACCACCTAATTTCTGGCTAGCTCCTCTGTGGTGATGATGACCTCAGTCCCAGATCGAACAAAATGACCTTCTGGTCTTTAGGTCACTTCAGTCTGGCTGACTTGCAAGCATTACTGGTACACACACAACGACTCATTTCAATTAATCAGTAGCATGTCGTTATACGCATTTAAACTGGATGGTGCAACTGCTAAGCTTTTGTTGTCTTTCGTGACATCATTTTCAGCTCTAATTCCAACGTGAAGTGTTATTTAAGAAGTCTCATTAGATGAGATGAATTATTTCTTCCTCTTTTTCTCTCTTGGTGACCGTTACTGTAATTAGTTGTCCCCACAGACTACTAATCGTGTGTCATTTAGACGATTATATATATATATATATGTTATTTTGTAGATTAAAGGTAGGTTAAAGGACCCAGTTGACCCAGTTAGACAAAATAATATAATTTACAAAATACCCTGCAATGAGGTCAACTACATAGGTCAAAATAGTAGGTCAGGGGTAGCCAGATTGTCAGAACATCAGATTTTGGCTAAGGTAAAAATGGTTTACCCCGAGAAGATAAATAATTTAGAAAAAAGCACTCAGCAATAGCACTGCATGCATTTACACACAACGACACAAAAGGGTGGTGGGAGAGGGTTAGAATTCTAAAAAGTAATCTAGGTAAGTGGAGAAAGAGGTTGATTACTGAATCGTAAGTGATGAGATTTTCACCCTATTTTCTTTCAAACTATGTTAGAATATTCAAGTATTGGTTTTTAGAGATTTGACTGATTGGTTACAGGATTACATTATGAGCTGACATAGGTTAGAGAACCATTGGAAAAGCTGCAGGGAATACTGAACAACTGTTTTGTCCTAGTGCTTGGGACTTTTATTCAGCAGCACGCACCCACCTCCAGGGTTTGAACCCAGGAACTTCTGGTTACAAGGTGGGAGAACTCGTAGACTATTCAGCCACTGAAAACCAATCCAGTGGTCATACCAGGAATTCCAACTTCTGCCGATTCACGACATAGTGCGATTGGCTACAACCCGAAGCCATCGGTGACGAGTATTTGTCCTCACGCCTGACTTCACATAGCCTAATTGCGATCTACATGCTATGGCCTTGACTACTCTTGTCCAAAGAGAATAACAAGTTCATAACCAATGTATATTCTGCGCTCATCTTTCATTCAGGTGTCATGTATGATCTTGTGTAACTGTACACTAGATTATAAACTCCTGCTCTGTAAATTATTTCTTTCACTATGACTCTGAATTGCCATTAAGTAAAGTAATTTGAGCTCAGCAAGACATGTATCCATCATTGAGTACATCACTGTGATCTATTCTAGTCTTCTGATCATACTTTTATTCCTATTTAGTATATACACATCTATTTATATAAGAAATCATTTCGACTCTGAACCCTTCATTTAAGCATTCTTCTTGTCTGATATGAACACACATTCACATAAATTTATTCTGTCTCATAATTATGTTCTGGTGGTGTGTATGTGTGTGTGTGTGTGCATTTACATTTTCACTCTGTCTAATTCCATTTCGATATCAATATATTTCAATCTAGTCCTACACACTAAATGTCTATTTTATTCTAAGTTCTATTCTGAACTTCTCATAGACTCATGTTTCTCTCTCTTTCTCTCTCTCTCGGAACCTTGTTAACACTATTCAGACACTATGCATATTTCTTATTAACAAATCAATAAATAAAAATAAAGCCATATCTATCGCTCACGAACATTTTTTTCGATTAACACCTCGCCAGAAAAAACAAAATTACATTTACATGTATATTTATGTAAGTGCTATTAAGTTGATTAATCACAGACGACAATAGTTGTAGTAGTAGTAGTAGTAGGAATAAATTTCATAAATGTGTGCCTAAAAATCATTCAAAAATAACTTAAAGCACATATATTACACTTTTCTTGACTTTTGTTTGTTTGTTCGTATGTGTGTATGTCTACAACTTGTGACTAGATTTCCAAGAAATTATGAAACTAGGGGTATGATTATTAAAACAACATACAAAATATTACCTTTGATTTATACGCTTATTCATCCATCAAGGTCGTCATTCGAGTAATTAACCAATCAAATTAAAGTATTTTTAAATACTGTTCATTGATTGGTTGATTTACTTGTACTCAATCTTTGAATGTAACTATCATTGTATATACGATAGTTTATTAATTTGTTTTTTCCACAGTTAGAATCAAGTACCTGTAGAAGAGAAGAAAAAAATTAAATTCTTTCCACTTGTGTATAATAAAACATACACAAAAAACGTTTTCACACTTTTTTCCAATTTCAATACATATATTTATATATAAATTATTTTTCTTTTAAATATTTAAAATGTTTCCTGGAGTAGAAAAGAATAGTCATTCACTTCCAAACGATTTCAATGAAATTACAAGAGAAATGATTACAAATTCATTGAGTAATAAAAATAATAATACTAATGAAGAGACAAGGAAATATCCTGAGGTAAATTCTCTTCACAAAACTGTCAAAAGTACATCAACATCCCCAAAAAATATCTACAATGCCTACAATTCGGAGCATACAGTTTGTAATGATAATAACAGTAATAATGAGAATATTGATGTCATATCATTACCCGATCAAGACAATTTAAAGCTGCTAACAAGAACAGATGAAACAATATCAACAGATGAAAAAATTTTATTCGATAATACTTCAAACAATTCTGATGGTTTAACATCTCAAGGTGGTGAAAGTTTTCTTACAGATTCAAATAATTCTACCGATGCTGTGCTCATCGTCAGTAAGCGTAAACATGATAATGTCTATGAAGGAAAGCAAACATTCTCTGAGGAAGTGAACAAAATAGAAGACCTAAAGTAAGTTAATGTGTATGTGTATGTTCTTTTCTTCTTAATTTTGTTTTTTACAAAGAATTATAATATTTTGTAAACACACACACTTATTATTAAAATGCGAGTAGAAGATTTGGTGCATTGGGTGAATGGATCGCATCCGAGCTATTGAATTTGTCTGGAAGTTCTCCTTTTAATTGGCTGGTCTGGGGTTTCCACTTTGGTGGGTGCGTATTGTTAAAGAGTCCCAAACTAGGACAAATCAGTTATCCAGTAATCCCTGCCGGTTTCCAGTGACGGTATTCTAACTGATGTCAGCTCGTGATCGAACCTTGTAACCAATTACGCCCCTGGCAACCAACACTTGACAAGTAATTTGATGCCCACTAAAGAATGGCTGCACACAGGAAGTTACTTGAAGTTCTAGTAATAAGTCGTGTCCAGTTGGGCCCACCAAGTCATATAGGAGGACAATTACTCGCCCATGATATTGGCTCGCGGTTACGCTTTACATATCGCGAATTGGTAGAAGCTGGAACTTATGGGCTGGTCATTAGATTAGATTCCAGTAGCTGAATAATCTACGAGGTCGCCTTGTAACTGTAAGGTCCTGGGTTCGACTCCCAAAGGTGACCTACTGCTGAATAAGTGTCCCAAACTAGGACGAGATAACTGCCAAGTACTCTCTGGTTTTCCAGTGGTTCTCTAAATGATGTTATCCAGTGATCAAAGTTGTAGGTTGGGATATTTAGACTGTTTGGTTGGTAGAAACGTGAAGCAGAAAACAAAGGAAAATGGGTCAAATTCCACCTCCACCCAGATTTCCATTTCACTTTTAATAATCACTCATTATTTACAAATTTTAGAAAAAACAGCGACATGGTATGCAGGATAGGAAAGGCAACAAAGACCTTCATTAATCTGAAATCGATGTGGAAATCTGCTGCACTTGGCATGAAGGATAAGATTTGCATTCTTAACACTGATTTCAAATCAGTCAGTGTCTCTGTGTGCTTCAGAGACTTGACAAGCGTGTCGCCAAAATCTCTTCCAACAACCTTCTGCAGACCTTGATCATCAGTTGCTCTCATTGGTTTCATACTGTTGGTCAGATGGTAGGCCAGAAAAGACTGGCGACAAGAAACTCTGCACAGTTTTGTGACACACACGCCAGTTTTCTGACTCATGTAGAAGAACTGTCTTAAAATCATTTTTGGAAACCCGATTCCTGTTTGCGTATGCTGCCTGAGTGCAAAAGATTTCCAAACTTATTTCAGATTGATGAAGGTGTAGCTTGCCTTTCCGGTTCTGATTTTGACATTCTCATCCGCATCATCATCCCCTTGTAGTTGAAACGAGGCTGCCTACTATAAGTGGAGGAAGCGACCTCCTTTTTAAATTTCTTCCGTTGTTAGTTATTGATTGGTTGACTGGCTGGTTGGTTGGTTGGTTATCTTCATTACCTCTCTCTGCACGATGTTCACTTGAAGTCCTCTCTTCGCTGACTGCCTGCCTGCCTCTTCTGCCAACTTATTAGTTTTCGCTTGCAAGACTTCGAATTTATGAGGCATTAGGCATAAGTCATCGTCAAAATCCACATTTTCTAGAGTTTTCTTATCAGTTCAAAAACAGTATAATGTAGTGATGAAAGGGAGATGAAAATTCTAATATGTTTTAATATTTCATGTTCATCTTTTAAAAGTTGTATATTCAACCTGTGAATATATTCTGTAGAGAGCATATTTAAACAGTGTTGTTAAGTGCTGCGTACCTTTTTTGAAAAATTACTCAACTAATTTCCTTGTTATTATTCTATTTTTTTTTGTTTTTTCAAGATCAAATCGTCATGGAATAAACATTCAGAAGTGTTCTTCACTTCCTGTTATTCTATCACCATCTATATCATCTTTATCATCATCGTCGTCATCCTCGTTATTATCCATGTTATCCGGCGAAGAATTTGAAATTCTACCAACTTCATTATCAATTAAAACAAAACCATTACGTGTTAAACGTACAACAAGTGTTTCGTCATTGTCATTGGTTTATAAAAGAAAAAATAATAAATCATTTAATCGACACACTTACACTTATAGTCATAATAATGACAATAACATTGAAAATTGTACAAAAAACACGAATGAACAAAGGTCATTTACGAATAAATATAAAGCGCACAATTTGTATTGTTTAAAACGGCTAAGAAATAGACAGTTAAAAATCAATTCATCTAGGGGTAAGTTGTTAGATAATACCGATTATTTATTATTATTATTATTATTATTATTATTATTATTATTATTATTATTATTGTATGTTGGTTATTCTTGCCTTATATTAAAAAAAACTGTGACAAAATTCTTGTAGAGGCTTATATGAATCGATAAAGTTGACTTTAGAAAATGTGTGTTTCGCTGGTCCAGTTGTAGAATGCTCACCAACCACCACTGCACACGTGGTCTTTAGGTTCGATTCCCTGCTGGCCACGTACTCTTAAATCTCGCTTACCTGGTAATAAGCCCGACAATGACAGCGTCAGGCTTTTAACCACACTTCGTAAACAATAAACATCATTGCTACTGAAATTGCATAGCTTAAGAGATTAATTGGTGGATGGTGACTAACAGTGGAATCCAGGACAACGAGCATTTCTTCATATTCGGGAATCGTCAGGCGGATGTACCTGCATTTCCCAGTGAGTGATGATGTTCCCACCGAGACTCGAACCCAGTGCCTATAGCTTCAAACGCCAACCAAAGCGTTATCCACTAAACCACTTGGGCCACAAGAGCCACCTCTTTCGTGTGCAACGGGTCATATTATTTAATTCAATTTTAGATTTTCCTGTCGATTGATTGGACTGAAGTGCTCGGTCTCAGGTTGACATGTCAGCTTCTAGTGCAGCTGCTTCGACGATGTCTGGACATGTAATTAAAGGTTAATTGGTGGATGGTGGCTAGCACGCTTTAGCGTTTGAAACTATGGGCACTGGGTTTGAGCCTCGGTGGGAACATCATCATTCACTACTGAATGCAGGTACATCCACCTGACGAGTCCCAAAAAGGACGAAATGCTCATTATCCTGGATTCCACTGCTAGTCACCATCCACCAATTAAATTCGAATTACATGCCCAGACATTGTCGAATCATCTGCATAAGAAGCCGACATGTCAACTGAGACCGAGCACTTCAGTCGAATCAATCGACGGAAAAATCTAAAATTGAATTAAATAATGCATAGCTTAAGCTTGTGAGGCCCAATCTATAAACGCCTCAGAACTCAAAGGAATGGGAAAACTTTTGAATACTTATGGAACTTGAATAGCCTTTCAGACATGTATACACAACACGAAACGTATTCTTCTTGTTTTATTGATCTGCTGAGTGGGAGGTACGCCAATTTGACAAGAGATTTTATGTGAGCATTTTGAAAGACAGTATCCCAGCAACCGATAAATAGGCCACTAAATGATGACTTCATGTAGAAAACAATGGTTTGAACTAACGCCTAAGAACTTCAATAACAAATGCCTAGATACACCTGTACTGTACACATTAAAAAAAAGACTGTCGTCCTGTATACTTATTTTGTCTAGATGTAATTTGTTTTCTATAAAGTTTTCTGTCTAAATAACACCTTGGCTGGTTGTTTGCATTGGATTGCTATATTCGCCTTATTCAGTCTAGCCGACTTATAAGTAAAAGACACTTCTGTCCTGTGTCGTTGTCTGATGATTGTCTGATGAATAGTCTGAAATATTCTCCATAAATCAACAATATGTAAGGAAAGAGGACAGACAAGAAACTCAGCAACACAGATATGTTCCAGCCGATTTCATCCTCAACAGCAGCTGTACAGTCGTATTTTCATACATAAGTTTACATCGTCGCAATTATTATGTAATTAAATTAAAAATAATAACAAAGGGAGATTAAAAGTGATAATTTTTTAAAACTTGAGATGAAAGTTTAAAGGTGTGTGTGAATATGCATCACAAGGGGGAATAGATAATATTTTTACGTGATATGGAAAATAGAATTGATCACTAGCTGATATCAGTTAGAGAACCATTGGAAAACCAGCAGGGAGTACTAATCAGCTATTTCGCCCTAGTGATTGGGACTCTGCAGCAGTACGCACCCCCTGGAGTACAAACCGAGGACCTTCTGGTTACAAGGTGGGTGAGCTCGTAAACTATTAAACCACTGGGACCCCATCCAGTAGCCCATGAATTCTGACTTCTGTGAATACCACGACCACCTGCGAATGTCATCGTTGACTATATGTTCGGCACGTGCTGCCGAAGAAGAGTCCTAAAATAAGATGTAACAGCTGTCCAGTATTTCTATGTTTTCCAATGGTTCTCTAATCATTGTCAGCTCATGATGAAATCCTGTAATTAATTAATTCTTCGACTGTTACAAGATTGATCACGAACTGACTTCAATGAGAAAACCGCCATTGAAAAATAACTAGGAAGTAGTGGATTGGTGGTTCGTCCTAGTTTGGGACTCGTCTTCAGCAGTACGATTCTGACTGCTTAGTAGTCCCAAACGGGGACGGAGCATCTGTTCAGTACTCCCTGGTGATTTCCAATGATCTCTCTCTCTAACTGACCAGTGTTGGTTCATGACGAAATCAAAACAACAGAAATCAATCCAAATTCCTTCAACAACAAAAAATAAGTGTCTGTTAAAATTTTATACTATTGTACTTTTAAACTGTGTTTTCTTTCTTTCATTCAAGTGATATTGATTAGTTTAAACAGAAAAAAATGTGTCTATTTAATTTGATTGAATAAATTTTTTTTTTAATTTAGTTTGCTTGATCTAAACAAGGGACCGTTACCATGTCAACCATATATCATATATATGTATTGTAGATTTTTTGGGCGATTCCCTTAACTATCTCTGTATACTGCATATCAAAGTTGTTATAGGCAGGAATACCTAGATGTGTACACAAGTGTATATGCCTTTGTCTTCGCTCCTCTTCATAAAATAGATTCCACCACTCCTATTCACAGTTGAATTTATTTTCTAAATATGCTATAAAGATACGTTACCTGTATTGTTTTTATAAGTCATAAAAAAAAGAATAAAAGAAGAGGAATATATACATATATACATTGAGTGAGTGAGTAATAGCTGGCAGTCATAGACAAAAGAGACAATGTGAGAATAATACTAATAATAATAACAATAATCCTTAGTAGAAATATATGCATAATGAGCAGTAGAAGTAGACGTTGGTGAATCACTTGTACATTTACTTATTGAAATTGAAACCAAATTTCCCACTAAAAAATTGATATAAATTTCAGTTATGATTTAAAAGTATTTACTCTATAATAAATAATTAGAAAATAATTAGAAGTGATTGAATGAACAAAAATGTAATCACGATTAAGAAGAAATCTTACTTCTGCACTGTCGTAGTCTTGCTTTAGTCGGTGCCTAAACAAGGTGTGGCTTTGTCGTCTGTGTTTCATTGTCGATTTTACTTTTGTTGTGGTTGCTGTTGGTTGTCGTCTTACTGTCGTGTCTATGATTCATTCAGTCATTCATTCATTCAAGAGTTTTGAAGTACTTTATAAGTGAATGACTAATAATGACTGACTTTAGAGTGATGATTATATAAGTGAATAATACAGTGTAATGCTGTTCAGTAAAGTCCAGTTAACCACACCCATTAACATCTTGACTGACTTTGTGTGGTTACATAAACTAGGATAAAGATATTGTGTATATAAGTACATCTCTATTTTACATAAATAACTGACGTTTTATACATCTGTCAAATAGTAATGTGGGTTGGGTGGTGTCCTTTGGTGAGCTCAGTTAGGACAGAAACCTGGTGTAAAGTAAAAACGGGCAAACGCTTACTTGATTTTGGTTTTTAGTATTAATACAGATCGTGGAAGCGTAGCCTATCGATTGTGAGTCGGTAGTTCAGTGGTTGCGTGCTCGCCAACCATGTACGTGTTTCTGATTGACTGACTGACTGACTGACTGACTGATTGGTTTCAACATGGAACTTTGCACCGATGTGCACTAGTTTGAGTCGCCACACTCCACTCAGCACACAAAGCCAGAAAAGAAGAAGAAAGTAAAGAGAAACGCAAAACAGAGACAGTAAGGAGAGATATGAGTCAAAAGGAATAGTAATATCGAAGAACGATATAGTTTTATTGGAAATTATAAGTCACAAGGAGTGGATGCATCTGCGCTAGCCATTGAGAATGATTTTGAACCATATCATCGATTGTCTCCAGTCATTACTTTTTACCGTGTCGAGGACCCCAAGCAGTCAGTTAGGAAGTCTACACCTTCCTACGTGCTTTAATCTAACTGTTGTGGATTTCACTGACTGATGAAGCCATGTTTTGGTTTGGCCACCACTACTTTGGTCTTTTCCAACCTGATCATTCTTATGTCAGCCAGAATGGCCCGTCTGTTGCGTAAGGCATGTCCTAACCGTCTCAAACGACGTAACTTCACAGCCTCGTCTATTGATTTGCCCTCATTACCTAGCACTCGGCGTCTAACCTCAATATTGCCCACCCTATTACACCACTTCACACAAGGGATAGAACGCAGACACCTGTGATCAAAGACAGTTAATCTTTTCATGTCTTCCATTCTCAATGACCAGGCCTCACAGCCATAGAGGAGAACGGAGCGGACTGCTGAGCAATGCACAATGTACGTGTCCCGGGAGGCGCACACCTTTACCTCCTCTAGTAGGTTGTAAGCCAGACAAAGGGTGAAGTTTTGACGTGGGGCTAGCAACCCCACCCCGTAAAATGAAAAACCACTGTTACTGAAACTTCAACGCTCAAGGAATAAAATACTAATTATGTACATAAATGTTTAGTGACGTCCTCCAGAGCTGATACTAACACACTCCAATATAACATTGTTGGCCTGCTTAAACTACACTGAGCTGCCTAAATCTCCATCCAGTATTATGCATCTAGTTTTCTATGTCTTCACGAGCTGATCGGGGCTGTCACATGGCCACCATCCATAGGCACTATCCCGCTACCTCATCACCTGGAGACTTTAGTCCGCTGAGTTTCCCCTCTCTCTCGCTCCACTTCTCACCAATCAACCTGGACAACCCAACATCCGACAGATTATCCGTACTAGCGCCATGCTTAGATTGGACGCCCGATTAACATGAACACTTATATGCCAGGACTCGCGGTCCCGAGAAATCCTACACCCTGACC